AACAACAACAATTATCCCAAAAGCCAATATAGAATTATAGGAAATCCAGCCAGTTTGTTGGAAGGCCTTCTTTTCATTCTTTTCATTCTATAAACCCCCATGCCCTGTTTCTCTGACTATTTAGACAGGCTTTCCTGGATATCACATTGTCAGAGTGCAGAGGTGCTGTCAGCACTTAAATTATCTTTTCTGCCACTTTTCTTGGTGTTTTCATGTTGTCTTTTTCTTCGTTTTTCTTTTTCTTAGTTTAAGTAGATATATATGTTTAATTTGATTTTTGTACTGTTATTGTCTTGTCAATTTATTTAAAGTGTTGTTGTTTTATCATGCTGTGCACCACCCAGAGTGGCCTTGCAGCCAGATGAATGGCATAGAAATTGAACAAAAACAAACAAATCATCTTTCTAGAATCCCTTTTGAAAATATCTCCCCACCACCCTCAACATGCCCGCACTCGAAGAGAGATCCTGAGTGAGATGCAGAAGGTTGCCCTCTTCAAAATAGAAAGCTACTGGCTCCCTAACTTCTACATACATTGCAAGCTGAGCATGGAAAACGAGCCCAAGTGCCTCCATCTTCTCCAGGAATATCAGGAGAGGTTACACAAGGCAGGTTTGCCGAGGCCATTGGTGTCCCCTCTGCCGCCGATGAGCATCAGAGCAAGCAGCCTCAAAGCAAAGTCCTACTCCAGCCTGAAGAGCAAGAGGAAGGTCTGGGATCAGATAAGGGGCAGAAACCTTTCCTCAAAAGAGAAGCGCAGGGGCCGCAGGAGGCCAAAGTCACGGAAGAGCAGCCCAGAGGAGAAAAGGCACCGCTCCTCCAAAAGACCTTCTGTGAATCCAAGCCCTGGTCAGACAGCTCATGCCATGGAGTCTGACAGGGCAGCTGTCTCTGAAGAACCACCAAGCTTCAAAAGCAGTCCGAGTGAATTCCTACCCTCTCCCGTGGTGGACGAGATTGTTGAGAAGACCACCCTTAATAAACTCCGTGCTTCCACTCCAATGGTCCAGTTCCCCTCCATGCTAGCCTTAAGGACTCTTGTGAAGTCTCCCATGTGCTTAGATTTCCTCCCTTGGGCTCTCACGGCTGATAAATGCGCGGGGCGTCCCTTCCGTGGGTTTCTGCTGTGCCGTAGTTATGCCATGGAAGTGCATCTCCTGGACTTGTGGCATGACTTGGAGGACTTTTTGCGCATGATGCTGTGCTCCCTAGGAGAAGGGAATATCCTGTTGCGTCATGTGATGGGCGAGAGGATCTGTGAACTATACCTAACTCAGAGCAACAACTGGCACCTTCCTTTGAAACTAACAACGCTCCGGAGTTTGCAGAATCTTCTGCCTTCTGGACATGTTATCCCCTGGGTACTCAAGGCACAGAAGGAAATCTGTAAGGTGGGAAATATTTCTTTCTCTTGATGAACATGATTGCAGGAAGCATTGATATCACCCTCTCAAAATGCCACCTGCTGTGGCCTAGGTACCAGTATGCTTTTAGCCAGGGTCCACATGCCAGCTTTGATCCTCTGGGAAAATTCCAAATACCCTTTGCTTGCTCCCTGCAGGATCAGGCCAAAAGCCTTTCTAGTCCAGCATTCTGATCCCACAGTGTCCAACCAGATGCCCATGAAATCTCACAACAGAATATTTATTTATTTATTTATTTATTTGATTTATACCCCGCCTATCTGGGCAACTCGTCCACTCTAGGCGGCTTACAATATAAAATCAAACAATAAAACCCAGAATATGAGCCCAGTAGCTTCGTCCAGCTGGTAGTTTTTAGGAACTGGTGTTTACTATCATCAGGAGTAGTGGTCATTGATTAGAAAATGTGACTAGGAGGAGAGTTTGGAATGTTGTATTAGAAAATGAGCATGTTTCAAGAGCTAAAGCTTTTTAACAGTCAGCATCCCTATTCATTTACACTCCTCCCATCACTGGCAGGACTATTGCATAGGCTACAATATTTGAAAAGAGAGAGAGAGAGAGAGAGAGAGAGAGAAGAGCAATATTGCCCGTCCTCCCATCACTGGCAGGACTATTGCATAGGCTACAATATTTGAAAAAAGAGAGAGAGAGAGAGGAAAGAGCAATATTGCCCAATCTTTTCAATGGCAACACCTTATTTCCTTTTAATCTTATCTATTCTCCAAGCCTAATGCCTAATGGCTAATATCTGAAATACAGAGTGAAACCTTTGTTTTCACAATATTGTTAATTGATTAGTTTAAAGAACTTCATGCAGCAAGGTAAAAGAGCTGGGTTCTTTGGTGGGAAACAGGAAGATCACGTAGATTTGTTCTTGTTTTTCTTTTAGATACTCAGCTTCCTGTATGAGGAATTCCTGCACCAAGATGATAAAATGTTCCTGTATTATGTGGTAAGGGTGAAGTGGAACCATCAAGGCAGTGAAGACAAAGTGAAGGACTTCATGTGTCCTTCAGTTTGTCAAAGCTTAATCAAGGGGGTCATGCCAGATTTCTTTACATTGGGAGGGAGGGGAACAGGGGGAAGGAGGATATCTATGAGATACACATGCTGAAATCCTGTTGCACAGCTCCACATCACATGCACCCCAAAATTGTGAAAGGAAACCTTTAATCCATGGCAATTTGCCATTGCTGCTGAGGTCATCCCCTCAAGCATGCAGAACAATGCAACAGGATTTTAGCCAGAGTTTCTTTGGTGGGCACTTAAGAGCATGGATGGGTGTCACCTATAACAGCCTTCCTTAATCTCATGGCCATCAGAGGTGTTTGGCTGTGGCAGCTGTACCGGTTGGGATGATGGAAGTTGTAGTCCTGCATATTTGCAGTGGGCAACCCTTTTTTCAGATTTCCCCGCTGGCCCTTGTCGTTGCAGAGTGGCAAGGAGAAACAACCTAGTGAAGAGACGCCTTACGATAAAGATGAGGACCTCCGGCTAGTCAGAAGGATAATTGAATCTGTGCACCTGAGCCAAGCCTTAGCTGGAATGAGAGACTTTGATCTGCTTTCTGGAGAGCACTGGCGATTGCTTGGCACTCAGGACCTCAGCAAAGGGGGCTCCATCTTTATGGAAGTGGAGCCTGTTGTGCGACAGCTTGGTAAAAATAGCTCAGCCCTCATATTTCAGATAAGAAAGAACTGTATTTAATTTTGTCTGCTGAGAACAAAGTTTGGAGTGTTTGGGAAGCTGACTGCTTGGTCCATGTGTATGCTACATAATTATATTATTCTACTGTATACTACATATGTGAGGATAGTATGTATATGTAGGACAGATTGTGATTTTATGTATCGTTATAGAATGTCATCCCTTAGACCTTAGAATTTTAGTTTGGTAACACTTCTACTTGTGCTTTATGTGCAAATATCTTCAAAATTAGTAAGAAGCAAAGAATACCACGCATATTTTGAGTATAGCCACTTTGCTCTTCTCACCTCACACATACTGTATATACATGCATACATGCATCCACGCATAGACCTCCAAAGACCATTGCTTCTTACGAAGAAGGAAAGATGCAGAGCACATCCATACGAGACTTCGAGCAATTGCACTTGTTTCATTTCACAGAATTTATAGGGGGTCCAGATGTGGCCACCTTCAATTTGTAACTTCCCAATATTTTTCCACCACTTTTCTTTTTTCAGGAGAAAAAAAGAGTGAAAGAAAGAATAGCTACAAGGGGGTCAGAACTGTATTGTTGATCACCATGTAAAGATTCCATAACTTGCAAGTAATTCTGGCTAATTGACAATGTGATGGGAAACATTTCCCTTCCACAACTGGACAAATGTCCAGGAGCATGGTGGAGATGTGGAGATGTTCCTGAGCACCTTGTTAATTACCCATAATTAGCAAATACCAATAAGATTTCAGCATATTTATTTTGATTAGTAGCGCTGGAGGTTCCTAAAACTGGGGGGGGGCAATCGCCCCCCCCACGCTCCCAGAAGGCACGAGGGGGACTTTCCAAGCCAGATTTTTTAAAAATGGCATGGAAGGGCCCAGAGATGATGGCAGCTCCCTATGTGCTCTCAGGGGCTGTGTAGGGCCTGCAGGATGCACTTTGCTCACACCAAGAACATAGCACACAGTTGGAGTGGGGAGTTTCTGTTCTTTCAGAAGTTTTGGGCTACAGTTCCTATGATGCCTTTCAATGGGCTCCATTCTTTGGGACTTCTGAGAAAAGAAGTCCAAAGCCTCTGAGGCTTTGGACTTCTGCAACCTTAGTTTAGAGAAAGCAGAGAAGAATCTTCAGCGTTGTGTGGAGCAAACATGGGCTGGATATATGTGTGTATGTGTGTGTAACTCAGATAGTATGAGACTAGGGTGTTAATTCCAGACTTATTTATTGACACTTTATCCTTCTCATTTCTTGGGGTGGAACATAATCTTTTCTGGGAACAGTTTTTCATGTTCATTTTAGTGAGTCCGAAGTTCAATTAACATAGTCTGAATTCATCCCAAGGCACTTCTGAGTGGACTTAATGAGTGTATCTCATACAGAAAATCTTGGAGTCCAGTAGGTCTAACTTAGGTACTTATAGAATTTCATAAATATATTTCATGGTGTTCTGTCACACACACATACTTTAAGTGTGTGTCTATGGAATCATTCAAAAGCACTCACTGCTTTTCCTGAGGGCTTGAACAATGTTAGTAATATCTGTGCTGCTGCTCTCTCTCTCTCTCTCTCTCTCTCTCTCTCTCTCTCTCTCTCTCTCTCTCTCCTCTAACAACAGATTACAGTAGCATGGCATTTGAGGAACTGGCTGTATTAAACCCCAAGATGGCTGTGGAACTTCTCAGTAAAAATTTCAGGGACTTCTGCAAGAAGTTCCCCTCTGGCGGTGAGTCTGGATGAGGAATTGGTGAAGAGGAACTAAGGAGGGGAGAAGAACTAAACTCAGGCAAAGGCTTCTACACATAAGCTGAAATCCTGCTCGTAACATAAACCGAAGGATAACTTTAAATCTGCTCCCCTCCTGGCAAACAAGGCACCACTGCTGTAGTTCTCTGGGGGAGGTATGTGCATGCTTGCATGTTGCATGTCCATGTGCACCTGTAAGAATCACAGCAGCACTTTGTTGTTGAAGGAAGAAAGGACAGAAAGGTATGCTTTGGGTTACACGAGGAACAGGATTTCAGCCAGCAGGCCTTTATGTCTAGTTTTGATCTGAAAAGAAAAAGAAAGGGGAGAACTTTGGTGTTTTTTTAAAAAAAAATATAGGGAAGTTTTAATAACATCAGTTCATGTTAAATTCATGAAATCTTGCAAGCATTGGCTACCTGTGGTCTGTGTAGGAGGGTCCCTCATCCTGCTACTGCAGCCTGCTTTCATCTGAGGACATGGGTTGAAATCCACAAAATCTATGATAAAACTTGTTAGTCTTTAAGGTGGCCCAAGACTTTTCTTTTCAAAAAAAGTCCTCCCAGAACAAGTTGTAAGACGTTTAGCCCTCACCTAGGAATACTGCTTCATCTCCCTTGCAGGGGTTTTCGTTCGGCCAGTAGTTGCAAGGAGGAGCCTCCACTGGACCAGGTCAAGCCTTTCCTTCATGAGAAAAGGGCCTGTCTCCAGAAAGTTCCTTTCAAAGCCCAGGTAGTATGTGAACCTGCTTTGGGGGGACATTTTGCCTTTTGGTTTTGGGGCAGCCTGGATGTAAGGAGAACTATGCACCTTTTCTGTTCTGCAAATAGCAGTGTGGGAAAGGTGAACAGCCTTGAGACACTGATACGTGCTTTGTTTAACTGTCAAGTGATATAACTGTAAGTAGTTCTGTTTATTTTAATGAAAAGCAGAAATTCATGTGTGAACAAGCCCTAGCTGGCATGGCTGGAAGTCAGCCGAAGAGCAGCAAATGAGCCCATATCAGTACTCTGCATTCCACCCTTTTTCTTTCTCATGGGTTTACACTCCTTCCCCCCACTTAATGTTCCTTCAGTCTTTCCTTACTTTTGTACCCCCATATACCCCTCTCTCTGGACGTGGTGGCGCTGTGGGCTAAACCACAGAAGCCTGTGCTGCAGGGTCAGAAGACCAGCAGTCGTAAGATTGAATCCACGTGACGGAGTGAGCTCCCATCGCTTGTCCCAACTCCCGCCAACCTAGTGGTTCGAAAGCATGCAAATGCGAGTAGATCAATAGGGACCACCTCGGTGGGAAGGTAACAGCGTTTCATGTCTAAGTCACACTGGCCATATGACCACGGAAGATTGTCTTTGGACAAAACGCTGGCTCTATGGCTTGGAAACGGGGATGAGCACCGCCCCCTAGAGTCGAACATGACTGGACAAAAAATGTCAAGGGGAACCTTTACCTTTACCTATAACCACAATGGTACACAATGTCATCATAGAGCTATAGAATAAGTGAGTGGGAAGGGGCATATAGTTATCATTATTGAAGATGGAAGATTTTAATCACATCTCCTTCATGTGAATCCAAATCTTATCAACTATAGTGGCTAGCAACTTTATTTTAAACAAAAAATAAGCTTTTCAGGTCTTCAAACACAGTGGAGAATTCTCTGGTAGCTCTTAGAATTCATTGGCTAAAATCCTGTTGATTTAGCACAGTAAGTCATGGTAAAGTAAGCCTATTGAATCAGTGGTCATTTGGTGAATCAACTCCTCATTAAGTTCCATTGATTCAACTGTGCTTACTCTACTTGCAATTTACTTTAGCATAACAAGTCACAACTAGAGTAAGCCCATTTGAATCAATGGATTTTAAGGAGCAGTTGACTCAGCAAATCCCCAGCAGGCCTACCCTAGTGCTACTTAATGTGCTAAGTAACAAGATTTCAGCCACTGGGTTAGAATGTTGTGGTGGGGGAGGGGACAACTTTTTCCCATTCTCTCCAACATTGCCCACATCCATTTGCCAAATAGGATTTCCTGAGCAACTGTTTATATAAATATGTGATAGGAACTCATAAGTGTTTGGCATTCTATCTGCTCTTATCCTTTCTAGATCATTTACGGATGTGCTACAGAATCTAACCCACCTGGAATACTTCAGGCATTTTCTCAAGATGCACAATGCTGAAGCCCCACTACTTTTCTGGATGGCTGTGGAAGAACTCAAAAGCGAGCCCAACCCCCAAGTTCAACGTCTTCAAATCAACCAATGTGTCAGGACTTTCTTCTTCAACCCTATCCCACCTGGTAGGCAGGCTACACTCTGGATGGATTTCTTAGTTCTGATGCTTCATGCAATAACTGCCACCCCATGACTTCTTGTGGCCCAGCTTTATGCTATGTTTATGCTTTATGCTTCCATCCTTTCTAGGTCCTACAGCTACTGTGTACTTGGCTGCCTGGCCCAGTCACTAAGAGCACCCTTTGATCATTGCCCCTTTGCTGTTTACGGCCATTAGTTCACATCCTAATCCTTTTGCTGTAAACTGAACTGTGCCCACTGTTTTTCAGGGAACTCTCATTCCCTTTGAGTTGAGTTGAACTACTAGAAGTGACTCTATAGACATGTGTTTGCTCTTCAAAATGTACCTCCTATTTTTTGAGCCACATAAACATGTTCTGCACATGTTCATGAAAGAATAAAGAAATGCCTAGCTTGATGCCCCGTGTTTTGCTGAACTATACTGGACTGAGGGTAATCTCAGCAGTATTAGTGGTATTAGGTGAGATAGCCACTTGTGTGCGCATCAGAATAAGTTAGAACTGCACATCCCAGTATGGTTGTACACTTGAATGCATGTTCTGTGGTGCATTCTGGTATCCCAATAATGACATTGTTTGCCCTCATCATGTATCCTGTTGCCTAGCATCAGCTGCACAACAGACGTGGTATCACAGGTGGTCACTAATTTAAAAAAATATTTTTTTTATTTTGGATGTCTATGATTTCATAGCATTGCATGTTGAATTGTGTACTTTGCATAATGGGGAAAAGGGCTCTTTAATTTGTGGCAGTCATACCCTCTTAATGGCTAAGTGTCTGTGGGAGTTTGCTCAGTTTTGCAGTGCTATGCAGTGGCAAAAAATTAGAAAATTCTAGAGAATCTGTGCATCCCTTTCTACCACCACCCCACCTTTCTTCACTCAGAGAAGCTGCTGCAGTGCAATGATGATATTATCAGAGAGATTCCAAGGGCAACTCTTGTCACTGTTCCCATGCTGGTGACAGCACAAATGGCTGTCAAGAAGGCTTTGGAGGATAAATGGTGAGTGAAGTGGAAATGCATAACTGGATCACAGGGACTGTTCTACAAATGTAAAAACAGGCAAAGAGCTCTCTCTTTTTTAATTTGCATTTATGTGCCGCCCATCTAGACATAGTCTACTCTAGGCGGCTCACAACATACAAGATAAAAACAATTTAAAATATACACAGCTTTACATTTAAAAAAAACCAAAACGATATAAAATAATATCATAAATTTACAATTAATTTAAAGCAAACAGTCCCAAGATGGCATGAGTTAAAAGGAAAGAAATAAGAAATAAGCATCACTTAATTGAGCTTGAGCACTCTTGAGTTTGAACTACCTTTTTTGTGAGATGATGTGGGGAGAGCATGGATGTAACTAGTATTAAAAGTTTCTCACATAACAAATGGAAGTTTAATTCCAAAATTCTAGAAATAAAGCAATCCCATCACATTCATGGCCCACAGCATGGCAAGACATTGCCATAGATTTGTAATGGTTCACTTCTGCAACCAGAGATCAACTTTTCTGCATGTAAGATTCCAGAAGTTGCCTTGAATCTTAATTTAGTTGATGTATTTATTATTCACTCCTGCTTTTCCAAACAATGGTGCCCAGTTGATCTATTGAGTATAAGTTAGTAAATAAGGGCTGGAATTCAGTAGTAGGTAACAGAAACAATGGAATTTACAGAGGAGTTGACTCACCAAATCTCTGCTGGTTCAATGGGTCTACTCTAGCTGCAACTTACTGGACTTCAGCCCTTATTGAAACATCAGAGAGTTGGTGATTTACCTGCTTCATCTTGAGACAGGATCTGTTTTGCATGTTCTAGGATAAAACTATGGGATACCCAGAATGGTGTAATGGATAGAGTGATGGATTAGGACTCAGAAGACTTGCTCAGCCATGGAAATTCACTTGGGGGGGGGGTTGGAAGGTGTAAAGCCACTCATCAAATATGCCACCTACCTTGAAAGCCCTATTAGGATCGTTATAAGTTGGTTCTGACTTGATGGCACATAACATATAACATAATGTAGGACAAAACCATACACTACAGACAGTCTGTCATGAAAGGTTGATGTCCTTTAACTTCCACAGATACATGAGTCATCCATTGAGCAATCATTTTCATACTTAATGACTGAGTAATTGTTCTACCTCCTCATGACCAACAACGAAACAAATTAATTTGCAAACTATAGGATGTCTTAAAAGCTTCTGTTATGATACCTAGGTGTTCTGAGCCTGTAAGGAATTCTAGCTTCTAATGATGTGGAATTTGTAACATATAGCTCAGCATAAGGATGTGACAAGTACTCAACTAATTTTCTGTTCTCAGCAGTTTTCAGAGTCTTGCCCTGCCAAGTCTCCCCACAGAAATGTCCCCCTGATCCAAAGAGATTTCCTAGCTTGCTCCAAAAACGAGTCTCATTTTCTACTGAGAATTCAGGTTTCCCAGGTTAATTCATTCTCTCTGGTCACATAGGACTCAGCAGAAGTGGGGAGGAAATTGGCTGTTGGCTTTGTTGGCAGCTTGTTGGCAGGTACGTCTGCGGTGGCTGTCCAGATTTGCAGGAGACACAGTTGCAGCAGAACTATCTTAACAAGTTGCAAAGATATGTTGCTCAGTGTGAGCTGCCCCTTCCATTATGAGGGGGCGAGTCTTTGCAGAAGAAGGAGCTTTATTAAAGTGAGGAAGGGGAGAAAACAACTTGCACCAAAAGTCTAGCACAATGACACTAAGCTTTCAAAAGAAAAGAAACATGAAGAGGAGGGGGGAAAACAAGCAGACCTAGGCACTAGGTCTGGGGAGGAGAGTATTCAAACAGCAGCCAGTTTCCCATCCAAATGGGCCCACTGCTCTGACTCACTCCTGCTGTAGAATTGGTACAAACCCCTCCAAAGAAGGATTAAACTGTATGTATCAGCACAAGGGGCCATATTGTCAAAGCTGATGTGAATGCATTTCCTGAAAAAAGGAGTAAAAGTCCCAGTAGCAGAAGAAACGGGGGGGGGGTATGGGTGGGTGGGTGGACTCTGGGCTAGTTCACACTGACTTGTATATCATGTAGTCAGCAGAAAATAGTATGAATCTGACTGTCCCAATCCTGGAGCTATTCCTGCATTATTTGCCAGTATAGTCAATCCCTAAGTGAATTGTGCACAGGAAAGATGCCATTCTGTGTAGGAATTGTACTAATCTTGGTAGTTTGGATGTTTTTTTCCCAGAAAAAAAGAAATAATTGCAAAAAGAAAATCTTACACACAGAAATCACAAGGGAAAAAAGAGGGATTTATTTTCTTGCTTTCTCACCAAAAGCAAGAGACTGCAAGATTCACATCTGTGGCCTTGCTCCTCATTTTTCAGAGAAAACATTTTGGGCCAGGAGCAAGGGAATTAAAGGAAAGGCATCTTCTGGGCATTCTCTACTGGGAAAACCCTGGAAAGGGCTGCCAGGGGCCAGAATTGACTTGATGACATATGATGATAATGATGATGGTGACAAAATGATGAATGTGATGGACTCTAGTGGAGAAACTGATTTCCTCATTTAGCTTGCTGTCTTTTTTGCTGGATTTTGGCAGGTTTTCATTGTATCAGGGCTTATATCCTGATACTGATGTTACACTTCTGCTCCCTCCACCAGCGAAGCCAAAGAGGGCCTCCATGATAAGAGACAAGCTGGTGAGTGAAGACTGTGGGGTAGGGAGAAGGTTCAGATTGTCCTCCTTCTGCTGTAGAGTCAGTCCTACAATGTTTGAAACTAAAGGTCTAAATGAGCTACTAACATTCCTGTCCTGCTATGAACCTAAAAACCAATATGAACTTTTGAGATGTTTGGGGGAGCAATAATGTTAGATGCAACACCGAGGGAAGTCAAACTTGCTGCTCATCATGATCTGCCTCTGGTTTCTGCTGGAGACACAGCTGACTAAAGAAGATTGTCCTGTTGCTTCCAGCCTGATATCATGGTTATTGCCATTATAGATTAATGGCAGACATAATCTAAGAAACCACTGAATGCGGGACATTGCTTTTAACTGACAGGCCTGTGACAAAGATAGATCCATATGTCTAAATCTTAGGGTCACAATTTACATTAGAAAAATAGGAAATGCATCAACTCCCCCACCCCAAGGCAAATGAGGGTGCCAATCTGCATTAAATTGCATGGGCCAATATATATGTACACTTGCAACAAATAGTGATCCATCCATCATAAAAACACACACATACAGACAACTGATCAGAAACACTCGTTACATGACCAAATACTCCTCAACTTGTATCTCTTTGAGCATCTTGGGTCTAGTATCTGGTGTTTTTAAAAATAATTTAAAAAGAATTACAATACACGTCAGCGAAGGAGGGAAGATAGTGGTTAGGTGCCCAGTGTGTGCCTACTGTCCATATGCTCCCTATAGATGGGCAAGTTCAAGGTCCCTGATCTCCCTCTACACCTTCAGATGGGGGACTCTCATCCCCTTGCAGCTCTCCAAATAGAGGAATGTGAAAGATGACATGTGGCTACCCTACTAGAGCAGCAACTGTTCCAGTTGTACCATGGTTAGTATGGAATCCTGAGCTTCAGGGCAAAAGCAGTCCGAAGTTGGGGGCGTGCTCATGTTCCTTGCCCACAGCTTACTTCTCTGCACTCTACCTTTCATATCACTTCTGTCCCTCAATTCACAGCAACATCCAAAGCCTTCAGGGCATGCAGCAAGTCCAGCAGGGAGAAACACACTTGAGGGAAGGAGCCACAAAGAGGACGGGAGGAAGGCTCCATATTTCTTCACCCGTGCAGCAGATGTATTCCTTAAACAGAGTTCCCACTGCACTGCCCCCCTTTCTACATAGGTTAAGTAGGTCCATCTGAACTACCAGCATTATGACTTGCTAAGTCCTTAGGAAATAGGCTCTCAGCTAGTCAATTCTGCTTTTTAATGGAAGTTTAAATTTAATGTAGATTGCCTCATGAATGCGTTACTGTTTCTTTATCCTGCCCTTGAAATTCTATTGAAGGCTGGTATACATATAGTTTAAATAAAAAGAATAGAGGTGACTCCTTGTAAAAAGAAAACAAGCGTGGCAGAGGAAAATATTTTATTGTATATGTTTGCCAGGTGTACTCTACTTCAACTTAACTCTATTACCAGCAGTACATCCACAATGCTGCTTTGCAGTTAGCTCCAAAAAGAGAATAGAAAGGAGAACAAGCAAGCCTATAAGTATTCCCGGTCTTGTTACCATGTTTGAAAGATTGTGAATATTTTGTTGGTACCAGGCCATAGAGAACAAAACAGAATCTCAGCTGCATCCCCAGTATAGGAAGGTTTGAGAAACAAATATTCCGGTTTTCAAAACTTTTCAGATTATATGCTTGAAATTGATTGACTTTGTGGATAAGTTTCATTTTTCTTCATCGAGGAACAAACTGTGTTGTGTTCTTCCACAGAGAAGGACCTGGCATGTACTTGATGCAGTTATTAAAATGGTCTGCAGGTTTCGCAAAGCAATGAGCTATGCATTACAGCGCAAGCGTTTTGAAGAATTCCTCCGCCGGGAACTGAAAAATGACAAGGAAAGTATGTCCTGAGTTTTTATCTTGGGGAAGGTCATAGCAGAAGTCTTCCCTTGGTTTATTTTCTCCCCTTTCTTATTTAAGGCAGGGGGAGTGAAGGTCAGCATGTCTGAGATTAAATCAGTGGTTCCCAATCTTAGGTCCCCGGACATTACTGGACTAAACCAGAAGTCTTCATCACTAGCTCTGCTGGCCATTGTAAAACAAGAATAGACATGGGATATTTGTATTCGTATCCCTGGGTATACGAATATCGGCGCTGCAGGTGTCTGGGAAAACTGGACCCTCCCCCCCCTCAACTGTGAGATTCAGTCATTGCTCACCATGTGATGCATGGAGCTGGCATTATTCTTCTTGAGCCAATCGCGGAAGTAGCCTGGCCAGTGCTTCCCCGCCTCCCAGCGCAGCTGACCATTCTGGTGAGGAAACGGGATGTCGACGCTCCCTACTTATCTGTTGAGCAGTTGGCTGTGTGGGGAGGCAGAGAAGCACTGCTGGGTTATTAGCACAAGAATGATGCTGGCCATGTGTGCTGCACAGCGAGTGAACCTGCCGGTTTGGGGGCGGACAGGAAAGGGTCCCGTTTCCCCAGGCACCTGTGGTGCCAGCATTTGTATTGCCAGGGATAGGAAAACAAATATCCCATGTCTAACCAAGTACATGTGAGGAGCCAAGTTTGGGAACCACTGGATTACATGAATTAAAGAGCCAGCCTTATCTGATCACTAAGAATTCAGTCTGTCCTTGAGAGTGAAGCCAAAGGCAAGAGAAATTTAGAGTCACGAAGTGATATATATTCAACATTGAAAGCCAAGAGAGGTGTAATGAGGTGTGAATGGATTGCCTCTATATGATCATTCAGAGTTTATCCTCTGATTTCCACCATCCTATTTTCCAATACCATTTCCTTACTCACAGCTTCACTGCTCTCACTTTTCTGTCCTCAGCAAGCTCTGTCATGGTTCTTCATCCATTTGCTCCTGTTTTTGCTCATGCCTGTAATTCCTTCTCTCAGGATGCATATGTAGAGCTGCCTTAGCCACCATTTCCATCTCCCCAAAGCAGAGACCCCGCTTTCTGCTTTGCCTTTTCCCCCTGGCTCTTCTTTCTGGGCATGTCCGGACTGAGATCTTCTCATGTTAACAATTAGAAGTCACCATGCAGCTCTTTTATCTTTTTCTTTTTAACAGATGTCCCCTATAACAGATTACAAACCAGTAAGAAACGAAAAGCACCATCTAGGGGAAAAGAAAAAAAGCCTTCTGAGTAGAGAACAAAGTAGTGCATGGGGCAGGATATAATAAAAGCCTAGTTTGGAATCATTTTCTATTATTAGAGAAAGACTAAAGAAAATCATCTGGAGCCCCAAGCCTAGAAACCATTAATCCAGTTCATGTCAGCAAAAATCACCTGAATCAAAATAGAGTCCTGTGTAAACAGTTGTAATAGTAAACTGGTATTTTGCTCTTTTGTTGCTTCTGAACAAGACGGACCTTCTCAGCAGAGCAAGACAGCCTGTCCAGGGTTGTTGAATCTCCCAATAGTTGAGAACAAGACAAACAAGCACTATTTTCATCATGTTTTCTACATTTTGCAATGGCTCAGTGCAAAAGCATTGCCTTTTCCTTTGGTGAGGAGAAACATGGATGCACACAGATACACACAGAGTAAAAACAAAAGGAGATGGGCTGATTGATCAAAGAGACAAAAACAACTCATCCAATGCTACTGTATCTTTAATTCATGCAAGGCAAGCCAAATAGGGTAATGTTGCTTTTAGACATTTTTTTTGGGGGGGGGGGAAGTCCTAAAACATATAAAATTTCTTTGAGACTGATCTCAAGCAAACAAAAATCCAAACAACAAAAAACCCTTGCCCTTTAACAGCAAGGATAAAAATGTTCACATTTTTTAACTTTTGTGCAGGACGGAACCAAGTTGGGAGATATACCCCTACTTTGCTCTACTCTGCCCTCACAGAAGATGTGCCGCTTAAAGAACATTTACCATATTTTTCTCTCCATAAGACGCACCAAAATTTTGGGAGAAGAAAACAGGAAAAAATAATCTGTTTTCTTCTCCTAAAAATTTGGTGAGCCTTATGGAGAGGTCCGTCTTTTGGAACACACCCTAGGACCCTTTGGAGGCTCACCCAGCCCCCCCAAGGGCCAGAGGGGGCAAAATTGCCACCTTCAGGGACTCTTCTGAAGCTTCCCAAGCCTCAAAAGAGTACCAGAAGGTGGCGAT